TCTTTCTCCCCTTCTTCCCTCTATTCCTTCTCTTACTCCTGTTCTGATCCATTCTGAAAACGTGTTGCACCCTGTTCCTCTTTCTCCCAATCTTTTCATTGTCCCGAATCTCCTCCTTCTTCCCCATGTCTGCTCCCCCTCTGCTCTCCCTGTTAAACTCCCTCTTCCCCGTTACACCCCCTTGTCCCCACTCTCTGGCACCCCCAGGTCCCTAGGCTTCCTCCCTGCTGCGGTTCCCCCTCTGCTCCCCTTGTCACCAGGTGTCTCCTCTCCTCCCAGCACCAAGCTGCTCTGTCTGCCCTGGCTCCAAATCATGTGTCCCCTCCCACTCTGTCTGAAGTGCCTCCCCCTTTGCTGCCCTCTCCCTACCTTGCTGTCCTTCATGTCTTGGGACATCGACCTTTTCTCTGTTTCTCCAGTTGCTTCCCCCCCACCCCCCGCGCCACTTTCTTGGCTGCTGCTTTCACTCTTACTGTCTCTTTGCAAATCCCTCCCCGCCCTCTACTTTGCCATCTGTTTATGGGTCTCCCTCATTCTTTTTTTCACTTCCTCCGTTTTTCTATTTCCTCTCAGTCTCTCTCCTGATCCCTTTGCCCACACAGTCAAAGGGAGGGGGGTGGAACAAGATGCCCGAGTCCCGGAAGAGCACGTTTTCCGGCGGGAGGCACTGGGGACAGAACAACACTGGGTGTCACAAGCAAGGCCCGGTCACCTCCCGCAACGCAGGATCAGAGGAAGCGGCGAGTGTCACCGAGGATCAAGAGTCCTGGGGAGCAGAGGTCGGGCCCAAGGAGGAAAGGGCGGGGGATGGATTAGGAGGGCGGCGGGCTCTGCGGCAGCCCAGGCGCGGGGAGGAGACCGGGCTTCTCCAGGATCAGGGCTGCGGCGCTGCCGACAAGGGCGAGGCTTGGGGGCCGGAAGGGCGTGAATCCACCTCGCGCGCCGGGACTTTACGTGGCCTGGAGGGAGTGGAGCGGTCACTGAAGGGCTGTAAGCAGGGACATGGTGCGAAAGGCGGTTCCTCCATGGCCTTACGGCAGAAAGACCGGGGACGGGACCAGCCTCGGAGCGATTTTTAACTCAAAGGGAAGCGGCCCCGGACTCTCACTGGGACGCCTGAATTTACTCGGGGTGGGCGGAGCGGGGCGAGGATTTCAAGGTCCGTGCGGGCCCTGGATTCGGGGTACAGAAGTGCTGGGGACTGCGAAGCGGACGCTTAATCTAGACAAAGGGAAACTCACGGGCCGCATGATCGCCTTCCCTCCGCGAGATCAACTTCCGGGTCGGGGATAAACTGCGCACGCAGGAGAGGCCGGGCCTGGGTGGGGAGTGGGCGGGGCCTGGCCGGAGTCTGGGCGGAGTCTGGGCGGGGTCGGCGCGTCCAGAGGCCTTGTCCCCTCAGCGCCCGGTTTTCAGCGTGAAGTGTAGACCGTCCCGTAACGCGGGCGCGACTCAGCGGTCTGGCAACTGGGGTCTTGCTGCGGGAGATCAAAGTCTGTTGGTGACTGGTTCCAGAAAATTCCTGTTATTCAAATTACTTTTAGCAATTTAATTTAAAAGCCTGGAATTGCCTGTGACGGGGATGCAAACTAGAATGGAAAATACAAAGCCGTGCGTGGGCTGAATGCGCCATT